TGTTAGTTCCATTGCCTTGAAAGAAACCTTTTCCTTGAAAGAAACCTTTTCCTTTTGAGTTGAATTTGTTGAAGCCATTTCCTTTCCTCTTGTTTTGGTTTCCATTGGTCCTTTGTCCGTAAAAGGTCACTTGAGGATGATTATAATTGTCAAACCCATGGATTTGGTTCCGAGTCTCATGACTTTTGAGAAGAGATACAACTTCTTGGTATGGAGGAACCGGAGGTTTCAACATGGTTGTCACAAAGTTCTCATAGCCTTGGCCAAGTCCTTGTAACACCCAAAAGGCTTTGGTTTTGTCTGGTATTGGTTTCCCCATAGCAGCAAGTTCATCACAAATAGCCTTGAATTTTCTTAAATATTCAGTCAATGAATCGTTACCTTTCCGCAATGTGGTCATTGCTTTTGTCAAATTGAACTCTTTCTCTTGAGAGTCTTGGGCATAAGCTTCTTCTAATGCATCCCAAACCTCACGAGATGTTGTGAGTCCCACAACGATTCCAAGCACTTCTTTAGAAAGAGTGCCAGTGATCCATCCATATAGAAGACGATCAGACCGCCTCCATGAGATATAAGCCAGGTTTGGTACCTCTTTGGGTCCCTCAGCATCAGTACTGTCAGTTGGGGTGATTTTGGCTACCGGCATGACATACTCTCCATCTAGGAATCTCTGCATGTCTTGGCTTTCAATTAAGGCGGCCATTTGAGTCCTCCATAATAGTTGGTGGGAGTAAGTCTTAGGGAAACAAAGTTTGACACATTGAGGGTAAAAGGATATGGGTAGCTACTGTTTTGAGATGGGGCCATTACAGAATGGGAACAAGAGAATAGGAATAAAATTGAAAGAAACTCTCTGATTCCTCACCGACAAAGCTTTGATACCACAAAAGCAGATTTGAAATCAAAGTTTCTCTCTCAAGGTTAGAAGAGAAAGAGAGTTTCGTCTATTTATAGTTGCATTATACAGGAAATAACATGATTTAAGGTATGATTACAATATAAATTTGCAATGGCTATATCTCCAACGGTTGCATTTTACAATTTCTTTGATTGCTGATTTTCCTCCAAAGCATTATTGCCATTTGATCTGTTTCCTTCTGCAGGTTCTACAATGCCATTTGATTTGTTTCCTTTTGCAGGTTCTACAAAATGATCCTCACAAGTTGAGACTTTATTAATGGTTACCAAATTTACCACTCATTCAAAACTTTTTCCTCATTTTTTTTTTATTCTACAAAGTTTTCAATTGTTGCTAGTTCTCTTTTTTTTTTTTGATGTGTGCATGTTTTGTATAATTATATATTCGTATGCTTCAAGATGATGAAGAATGGTATGGAAAAAATAAGTTTTTAAGATAATTTTGAGCTTTTAAGATTGAATTTTGAATGACTTGAATTAATTGATAATGAATAAAATAAGTTTAAAGATGGTAATATAGTATGGTATTGATAAAGCAAGTTTCATTACCATTAAAAATAGTTAGCAATCATTACAAAAAAATCATCAATTGGTATAAAAATGATAACTCTTTTTCATTACCACTTAAAACGGTTACCGTCATTTGAGTACGGTACGGTTACCATTTCGTACCATGCCCAGCCCTACCTAGTAGCCCCTCAGTCCAACTTGAAAGAACCTACTGTGCAACTTATAAGAACTTGGTTTTATTTGAATTAGCTATTCAAATGCACTGACAGGCAGTATAAATTATCTCGGTCTTATTGGTCGTCATACTAATTATGAAAAAGTATATCTATTTAGTTGTTCTAGTTTTTAATTTGCTAATGTATTAAATTTTTTGCTTTAATCTATTTTTAAAAAGATGGGACATTCTGCAATGGTTGCTCGGAGGACTTTCACTTTCCCCCGAATTTTGGCGGATTGAAAATGAGGGGATTGGGGGATATGTAAAGTGTAACCCCCTCTCTCTCCTTCCTCACAATTATGTTTAAAAAACCAAATTAAAGCATTTATAATGAAAAATAATAAAAAAATTAATTTGATGTCATATTATTATAATTAATATTATTTTATACAAATTCATATTTTTATATATTTAACTTTTAAATAGAATATCTAACAAAACATTTTTTTCATTCAATACATAGAGTTTCCAT